AATACAGTAAAAACTTTGTATTATTGTAAAATAACAAATTGCTGTTTGTACAAAACAGGTTTTTGATGTTATGTCCAGTTTTAACCTTTTTTATAGATAACATGTAAGTAAATGCATTTTCTGTCAGTTTACTAATAAATATCTGTAAAATAAGCAAACAGGGAAGATTTCAAATGTATATATATTTTTTTAAAACACGTTAAAAATGAGCTACCTTTAATATACATTATTTTTCTTTCAAATAACAGCAAATATCTTTCAAACGATTATTGTTTTTGGTGATTGACAAACAGTAAAGCAGTAATTCTCACATTGTAGCAGAAAGAAACAGATTTTGATGGGACAATATTCATAGTTATGTCCTGCAGTGTTTTACAGTTAACATGTAAATTAATAATTCTTTCTGGGGTTTTGCTAGTTGTCTGTAATTTAGCATAGCAGAGAGAAGACTCAAAAAAACGATTTTCAGTCATTAGTATAGATAGTTTTTCTTTCAAACACCACGACATATCTGTAACATAACACTATTTTTTGCTGATTTAAATACAGTGAAGTGTAGTTTTATGGTGGAGCTTTGTTAAATGAATCACTGCTGTGGGAAAGTGTAAAAAATGTAGATTTTTTTCAGCACACTGTGTAATGATGTGCTTAAACAGTATGTTGAGCAGACGGTTAGCTCACAGTTTGACCTTTATACTTATTCAAAAAGACCTTTGTAAATGTACCACTGCGCTAATATGTTGTGTTTGTGCTCCACTGGCAGTAAGACGCCTGAGAAGCTCAGCGACCCTCCTCCTCCTCCTCTTCCTCCTCCTCATCCTCCTCCTCCTCCAGCGCCGCCGATGGAGGGCCAACAGCAGCCCGCTGTGCCTCCTCTCATGAGGCCAGTTTCTCCTCGGACCAGACGGACTCTGTACCAGGACTCCTCTCACCACGTATGAACCGCTGTTGTTTTACATTCAATGAGGAACTTTAGTCTTTGAATACTATGAGCTTGAAAATACAACCTGATTAATCTGAACTCAAAGTATTTCACTGTTTGCTATTATTATGAATAAAACAATGCTTGTTTCCACAGTGTAAACCTGCTAATGCTCCCATTAAAGAGGACAACAGGCTTGTTCCACCTTAGATCATCACATCTTTAGAACAGTTTCTGATCGGCCATCTCTGATTTACCTGAAATGTTTAGAGCATAAATATGGATATTTAGAGAGCTTTGTGGAATTTTAGACTGACATACCGAATAGTTTCTGAGGCAACTTTTTAAAAAATTGCCAGACAACTCATTTATTAACAGGTTTCTTTTGCACATTGACATTTGAGGCTCTGTTTGAATGACAATACCTCAGAAATATCAAAGACGTTGATTTAGAATCTGCAATTTTAGACAAGTAGATTGAAAAATCTCTGATTATTGGTGGAATATACATATATATAAAACTAAAACATGAAGCCATGTACCTATCTTTGAGCACACATTGACAAAAAAATAGGAACACAAAGGTCAACCAGAGATATTTTCTGAACCATATGTAGCTGCATGTCATGATAATACAAAACAAACAGAATACACATAAAACAACAACAACAACAACAACAACAACAACATAGTTTCATTGAATTTCCATCACTGAATGAGCTCTGGAGTTTCAAAATGGTTATCTAAATATAACTTAATAAATAAATAAATAAAAAATAGATAAATGTAGGTAGATAATGTTGCTTTCAGTCATTTTGTGTAAAAGAAAAAAGTAATAAAAAAAAGTACTTGATATGTTTAAAAAAAAAAAAAAAAAAAAAGTTTGAAGCAAATCAGAGATGGCTGAGCAGATTTGAGGATTTGAGGTGGAAAACCCAAACAACAGCTGACAGCATCCGATCCAGGCCGCCAGTTCATAATTAGTTAAAAAAGCTTAGTTAATTTTAACACAATATACGTATAAAAACAAACACATCTTGTGCAGGGCAAAGGGCGCCGGATGTACCTGCAGAGACGAGGCCACATTCGACCTGAGGAGAAGTTTGACTTTCCTCTGCTGTCGTCCTGGGAGTACGGCTGGAGGCTGGGTAAGATGGAGACACCGTCTGATCCACTTCTGTCTGTTGACCTCAAAGTGCTGTGGTTTAAAGTAACTAATGTGTCTGCGTCTTTAGTTACAACCTGGTACACAACACAACAAGACACATGTCAGAGACTCACAAAGACACGGTGGTGTTCAGCAGGAAAACTTCTCACCACCCTGGTTCAGCTCAGCTTATCTCTTTCTTTCTTTTTTTGCTAGATATTTTCCACAACTAAACAAAATAGGGAAACATCTTTAAACTGCCAATAGAAAACTGTGACATTTTTACACACATTCAAAACATTTTAAAAGAATTCCTATTGGTTAAAATACACATGTTGGATGTAGACATCACTGACAGTTTTAGCCTGTTTTCTTTTTTCTTTTTTTCTTTTACAGTCAGCATTTAAATTAAATAAATACGTTTTTCTGTGACTTTACTAGATATCATCAGTAAATAAAAGAAAACATGAAGAAAATCTGTGAAATCATAAATTCTTGACAAAAACATGACAGTTACAGTTCACAAAGATGAACTTCACCAGTGTCGTGATAAACCCAAACATCAGAGGTGGTTTCAGCGTCTCTGCTCACTTCTGTTCAGCAACACTTGATTCAACCAGACTTGAAATGGACTACACTTACAGCACGTTTCTCATTCACACACTAATGGCAACAGAGCTTCCATGCACTGCCACTGGGGGCAACTTGGGGGTTCTGTGTCTTGCCCAAGGACACTTTGGTATGTGGAGGGAGGGGCCGGGGATCAAACCACCAACCTTGATTAATGGAGTGCGTTTGCGTCCACAGGTGACTACACTTTGGATTACAGAACTCCGTCCTGTGCCAGGTCGTCCGTGGTGAAGGACACCTTCTACGCCAGGAACGGGGTGTTCAGCAGCTCATCAGCCACCGACGCTCTCGGCTGACGTTCTGCTATCAGACACCAGACGCTGCATCTTAATCAACGTCAAGCAGCTAACAGACTTTCACATGACAAACAGTCATCATACATCTTGTAGTGAAAACAAATTCACCGACTGCCCCTCAAGCTCAGGTTATTTTTGGGATTTGTTGGCAAAAAGTACTTTTGGGATGTTAAATGGTAACTTTTGGTGGGATCATGGAAGTAAATGACCTGATCATTGTGTATTATTCTTATATTTATGGGCCAGTTAGGACTTTCTCCATCTTTTTGAGGCTCAATAGGCTGTTTCCCTCCATTTATTGGTGTTGGAGTCACAATGTCGCACCTACAAGCAGGAATAAAAGTCAACATGTGGATGGTGAAAGTAAAAGTCAGTGGAGTTTCATCCAGAAGACTTGAGTCTGAGTCCAACCTCGGACCAGAATTATAGTTGTAGTTTTTCACTTTAGTCTCGTTTTGACGTTCACTCTGTGTTTAATAGAACATTCAATCATTGTTTGGTTAAGTTCAGCGGAGTTCTGTGGAGGATTCAAGTGCAGACGCTCACAAATGGCAGGCAGGTTGTGGCACAAGAAATTTTAATCAAACAAAACTACTGAACAAATGGGAACAAAACACAAAACAGCTGCACAATCAAAGAAACACACAAAGTAAAAGAGAACAAACTAATCCAGTGGGAAACTAGGGAAAGCAACAGGATGGAAGTTAATGTGGCCGGCAAAAAGTACAAAGCAGTAGCAGATGAGGAACTACGAGGACAATCAGGAGACTAAACTGGAGACAAGCAAACAGGACGAACGGACACAAGACAAGACTATTTATACGAGTAACTGGAGAGACGAGACACAGATGACTCAGGAGACACTGGTGACATTAATAAGGGCAATTAAAAGGGGTGAGAAACAGAAACAAGGGGAAAATGTAAAAACACAAGCTCCTCACAAGGGAAATGATTTCAAAATAAAACAGGAAGTTAAGTAAAAGGAATGTGAAAGGTACACAAAGAGACAGAGACAAGCGTGGATTCAAAAGAGACATGGAAGGAAAACACACAGGAAAGATTCTAACAAAACCAACGAAAGAGAAATGACAACTCTAGAGATATAAATATTTTATAAGTGACATTTGTAATTTGCTTTCACACTTGTCTCCTGTCTGCTCCATGGAAACACAGCCTGCAGTTCAGCTGAGTTTAGCTAAAACATCCATGAATTTGCATCATGTTGCTTGTAGCTGTGTCTAATGGCTTCACAGTTCGGTCGAGAAATTTTATTTTTTAAGTTAAGATCTGGTTGTTTTTCCTGACAGAGCTGAGATGAAGGTGGAGGAGGTCCTTACTGGTCCCTACTGGTCCCTACTGGTCCCTACTGGTCAGATTTATGTGTTAATTAAAGGCTCTGTCCCGGTCAAGAAGGACACCGATGGGGGAAAAAAGGTGCACATGGAAATCCTTTACTTCTTGTAACGATGTCTGTTTACCATCTGCACGGCTGTAAGGTTAAGTGTCTCTCAACCTGATACTGTGTGCTGGATAATTAATGAGCTCCTGGCTTCACGTGAGTCACAGAGAACCAGCTGAACTTTAAACACCTGATACCTCCGAGGGTTTAAACAATGAGCCACTGCAGGAAATAATGTTAAATATTTTATTACTAATAATAACCCCAGTATGCCTCCTTTACATGTGTGTGAACTCACAGGCCACAAAGTTCTTGTTCCGTTAATCCACTGCACTCAGAGTGAACGTGTTGCGGCCTCACATTCATCTAAAGTTGGTGTCATTAATGTGGTATCTAGTTACCCTTTAATTTGGAGACTAGCATCTAACTGAAGCATGTTTTGGATCTGAAATGGGATTGTATTTGGTTTCTAATGTGTCTAAAAGTGCATTAGGTTCTCCTCTTTGGTCTTATTAGTGAAATGTACGATAAAATAATCTAAAGAGCTTTAAATAAAATGTCTAACCACATTGCTTATAATAAAAACACTCAGACAGGCTCAGAAAATATTGTGAACTCTTTTAATTTTATAAAAAGCACATCAGTCAATGTGGAAAGCAAAAACCAGTTCTCAGTTTTGCGATCGAGTCTTTAAAATGTACAAAAACAGTCAAACAACGCTGGTGGATTGTCTACTGTCTGGAGTTCAGGAATGAAAACATCAAAGAACCAAATGATTTGTATTTGGGGCACCCACGAGAATAGATGAAACAATGCCTCGGATAGTTGTGAGTCTTTTCTCTTTAGCACTTTTGACTCTCAAAGCATGAGCTGAAACAACCCCTGAGCTGATTGAGGAAAACGTTTTTAGAGCCATTGATGCTCCATTGTATTTTAAATGGTCACCTGGTGCTTGAGTTTTGTGTCTCAATGCATAAACACAGACGTTCACACCAGAAATTGATGATTCACCAGAATGCAGGAAGTGGAGCGCACTGAGAAGGACCCCAGACGTCCTGTTTATTATGTTTTCCTCCAATATTCAGATGAAACCTTCCCCCATGATAACCTGGATGATCTTTCTATTGCAAAGCCATATTTCATTTACTGCTCAAAACGTCTCAGAATGTGTCTGATTGTATGACTGCATTGGAAGCGGCGGCTCTAGGCGGTGGGGAAGACCAGGAACCCGGTAAAGATGTGGCTGGTGATGGCGTAGTTGGTCACGATGTTGGCGTGCCTGGTGGCCTGCAGCGACACGGTGTCTCCCACCTCCAGCTCCAGGACCGCCGAGCCGGAGGTGACCAGGAAACCTTCGGTGAAGTCACACATGACCATGTGACTGTCGCTGCCCTTCTTTAGCTCCATACACACCTACATGGTCAGAATACACACAAGTGAACAAAGGACCATTTAATTATATATCTCAATATATATATATATATATATATGTGTGTGTGTGTGTGTGTGTGTGAAAAAGGAGGACGAGGAAGACAAATCCTACACAGCCCAACAGTAGTGTTGTGAGAAGAAACTCACTCTGCTCTTTGCTGAAATGTGGTAACTGAAGAAATAGACGCCTTTGGTGACACATGTGAACGTCCCGTTTGCCAGTGATAGTCCTTGAAGCTGTCGATCCAGGCTGGGCAGAATCTCACTGTGGGAGGTTTACAGATATATCTGTTTATTTGGCTCCAACATCCACATAAAACATTATGAAGGTTTGCTCTAAAAATCTGATCAATAACTTGTGTTTCTTCCTGTGATGTGATGTTCATTATTTAACAGCTTTATTTTTCTAATAAGAACCCATCTTTAGTGTGCTTTTGATGTATATATATACATATTTAGTAACATTTTTTTGTTTTCTAATTTAATGTGGTTCAAAATTAAATTTTTGTGCTAATGAACCGAGAAAAACCTATCAGCTAAATCTACAGCTTCTCTCGGCTTTTTAAAAGCTTTACAGTGTGTTGCTCATTGTTAAGTCAAGCTCCATAAAAGCCTCTACAAACACTCAAACAGCAGACTGACAGTCAGCTGGTGAAGGTAGCGAGGATAAAGAGCCAAGGGTCAGATTTATCAGAGCATCACCCAATGTCAGGTTTATGCCACAGCTGCCCTAAATTAACAGCATTGGTAATTACCAAAACCATTTTTATGTGTCTTTAATGGTTAATACACCAGTATGTAGAAAAACCAAAATGATATTTTTAGTTCTAAATTCTTTTTCAGGAAAAATGTGATATCAATTGTAATCTTATGACGGTTGTGTTTCCAGGTCAGTTACATCTGGTGAGACCAGCCACTGTCCTGATGAAGCAGGTTTGCTGACTGTTAGTCCCTTTGTAAAATATCCCATCTATGTTTTGTTTTCTAAACAGCTTTCAATGCTCTCACTTTAGCCCTGATAATGTAATATAACAGTATTGTAATGTCATGTGTAGAGAAACACTTTAAAGCAATCTTTAAAGGGGATTTAATGACTGCAAATAAAAGTAATTTAAATAATTGCCCAATGCCATGTTTCAACCTCTCCTCTTCAGCCAAACAGTCTTTTTCTCTCTATAGCTTTGTAGTTTGAAACAACAAATCAAGACATCACGGCTCTGACCTGTCGAAGTCGATGGTCGTGTCGGATTCTGGTATTTGTGGTATCAGCCGTTTTAAGGAGAAGAAGGGTTTCAGTTCGTTGGAGGGGTTGAAGGCACTCCCCTTCTCCCCTGGCCGGCCTGGATATCCACCCAGCCCCGGCAGACCCATGTCTCCCTTCAGCCCGGGCCGTCCTGGGGGGCCCCGCAGACCCGGGCTCCCCTTCTTGCCCCTGATGGGCTCAGCTGCCTCCCCTGTGATTTTAAAGAGCGCGTCAGCTGAATCTCAGATACATGACGTGGACATTCTTTACAGTTTTGGTCAATTTTTTTTGTTTGTTTGTTTGTTTTGGGTTAACATGTAAATTAATTAAATTAATATTTATTTTGTGTGATTTCACACGTTATTGTCTGTCATTTAAAAAAAAAAAAGGGAAATCTGTGAAATAACAGTAAATTGTTTAAGAAATTACAGCTAAAAACTACTTAAATACTTTTTTATTCTTATCATTTTTAATCGTGTATTGAATGAGAAAGGGTAACAACATGATGAGAAACATGTTGTCTCCTTGTCCACTCACCAGGGTCTCCCTTCTCTCCTCTAGGACCGTCCTTGCCGTTGGGCCCATGGACGCCTGGTATCCCGGGAATCCCAGGGACTCCTCCAGAGCACGACATCTGTGTGACGACTGGGCAGACGTGAACCAAAAGCAGCAGCACTGAAGTACTGCAGATCAGCCACTGGGAGGCCTGAATGCACATCAGTACAAGTTACTATCCAAATGTAGCCCAAATTTCAACAAACAAATAAAAAAGAAAGAAAACTGCAAGACAAAATCCAAATTCTTTGTCAGTTTTGTTCACTACTGTTGTTGAGTAATTATATCTGGATACATGGAGACAGTGTCACTGGTTCTGCAGCTGTACGCAAAAAGAGAGACGTTTATACTGACTTTTATTTGTACCTTTATCAATCTTTATAAATCTACCTTTATCAATCTTTACATTGTCATGTACTCTTACTATATTCATTTACTCAGTGTGTTAATACCACTCGGTTCATAAAGTTTATTCTGTTTACAGTGCCAAACTGCATTTCATTGTCTTAGCAGTTACACTTTGTGCTATGACAGCAAATATAATTTAAGATTTCCAACTCTTTCTTTTTTTTGGACATTGTGCAGCTATTTGAAGGGTTTATGTTCTGGATATACAGCAGAAAAGTAAAATCACAATATAATAGAGGACTGAACGGAGTCCTTGTTTTAGCTCAGTGTCCATAACTTCAACACAGTATATAACGTAATACACAATACATAAAATAAATTCAGAAATCATGCATTCTGAAAAACACTAATGAATCAGTGAATTGAATAAAATGTGTTCCAGGACAACAGCTGTGTATCAGAACCATAGAATTAAATCAGACCTCAGCAAACATTCAACTGGAACCGTAAACTCTGAAGCCAAAACTTATACGAATTCTTATGTCTAAACTACTTTATTTTTTTTTTTTCTTCCACAATCTAGACTTGCCTGTTCTTCATGCTCTGTATGGGACAAAATAATCTCACCATGTCCAGGTAGTAAAGTCTGTCGTCCTGTGGTGCAGCAGTGAGCAGACGGAGAGTGAAGCTGCAGCGCTGCCCTGCTGCACAGTGACGGTCATATCTCAGTCAGGACAAAAACAGGAACTGAAACTGCTTAAAGAGAGCAACAAGACGTTGTTTTGATGCCATTAATCACCATTTCTCAGCAAAATATACT